TGTTCTGTAAACAACCTTTTATGATTCCCTTCGTAGCGTTAACTGGTCGTTTACAGAATCCATCTCGACACCCTTGTGGCCATTTTAAAAACTGTTCGACGACCTTTTATCGAGCCCTCGATTTCCAAGGAGTAGGAACGTTCCACTAAACACCCTTCTTCCCCCACGTAACCAATTGTATAGCGGCGAAGGAATCTTGTTCGGATAGCCTCGTTATCAGCGTAGAATCTCCTCTGTAGATGCATAAATTGGGGGACGAAGAAAGACACCCCTACCCCCTTTTGCGAATGGAATGGGAGCCACCTAGCCTTTTCCGCTCCGACGTTCATTAGGAAACTTGTAGGGATGCGACCACGGTACACTCTGTCGAGATACGCTCGGCCTTGCGTTTATGAAGTAATTTCACCTTCTTGAAGAGGGGAAAGTTCTGCAGCTGGTAATAAATTTACGTTACAGTAGCAGCCTTCAGACATCGACGTCGACGTCTAGATGGGATAAAAAATCAACGAATGGAATTCTTCCGAGAGGGGTGACTTTCGGTGGACGAATATGTCGTTTGTATGTATTCCGTGAAACGTCGCGCAAATGATAGCTTTCAAACGAATATTTATAGCTACGTGTACGTGATTCTTATCAAAATACCCTCCGTGTAGGTTTAGCAATGTGTGGAATGGTCGAAGAGATTGAATATTCATGATACGGTCTCGAGCATCTTAAATACATACGAATGAATATTCTTCTTAATTAATATGCATGTATGTTAATGCAAAAGAAAAAACTGAATACAGTTCATAAATTTTTCCAAAGATACTAATAAAATTTGTATAGCTGTAATATTGTATTACACATATTTGAATGAACGTTTGAAAGACAAGTGTATGTTACCCCATTTGTTAACCCTTTCATTACTAAAGGTGATTATAATTATTAAAGTATATTTTATAGCTATAATATTATGTTACAAATAGTTAAATGGATATCTAAAAGATTGTATGTTACCCCGTTTGTTAACCCTTTCATTACTAAGGGTGATTATAGTCACTAAAGTACATTTTAAAGTTATAATATTATATTACAAACAGTTAAATGGATATCTGAAAGTTAACTGTATATTACCCCATTTGTCAACCCCTTCTTTATTAAGGATGGCTATAATCACTGAAGGTTTCAATTTTTCAATATTTCAAAATACATTACTATTTTATTTACATCTACCATATTATCCTACAAATTCGAATAATTCACTCTACAAACTTTCATCCAAGAAATGATAAGAATTCAAGATTCCTCGAGTACCTACAAGTGCTATGCCACGTGCACAGTCAACTGAAACAAACGGAAGAGAAAATATGAGGTAATAAAAAAAATAAGTGCACGAAGAACGTGACAAACAGACTCTGCTTTCGTTTCTCGTAAACGGAGCCAGAGAGTGAAAAGGTTTCGAGTCGATAGCTCGAATGCAGCTGATATGCAACGAGGAGAGAAAGAGGGGGTGGAGCCGCTAATCGTATTGTTCGAATTCACGCGTCCCACAGTGTGGCACACACAGGTTCACGTCCTCGGCACGGCATTATTACGAGTCTCGCAATCGTGACACGCCGCTATGTACTACCGATCCGCTCATTACGTTTCATTTGTCCGGGTCCGTGAGCACCATTTATGCACGCCAGGCATCATTAACCCTTTTAGCGATGGATGAGCGAGCTATCGATCGTTCGTAACGTACGCATATTCGTGTGCATCAAGGGTATCCATGTGCGCCGAAACGTGCAGCATCAGGATGTTTGGCAAGCTTCTAGGAAAAATATTGTAAATTCCTCTGGTAAAATAAACGGGGGCTGCAGTCGAACTCACGGAAAAAACGTACGATGTGGGGTAAACTTTACCGAGGGAAGTTTGGCAACTCGGAAATTCTGGAAAATTTGGAACTTCGTAGAATTTTAGTTCAGATGATACTTATAATGAAATCATTTGTCCTTTCGAGAATGAAAGAATTCTTCAGATAAAAATACCCCTTTAATAATGGGGGATTTAAATTATCACAAATATAAATTTAAGGATCATGTTATTATAACGTAATTAATTTTACAAGTTGAAAAAGTTTTGCAAGCATTACTTTTCTGTTCCATATTTTTAATTCCATATTACTGGGTGCTTTGAAAATGGAACCTTCGATGCCATCTAACAGTTAGCAGAGAGACTAATGAAACAAAAAGCAGTGACTACAGACACCGGGGTTAACATAGGGGTTGACAGTCTTTAACAGTCTCTTGTCGGTGCACAGGCACAGTTAGATCTGCATGTACAGAACACAGTCGGTATGATAACCGTGCCTGTTTTACCAGTACTTCTTTTACCGCACCTCGCACAGACTATTCAAAAGACAGAATTTTGACTCCCTTTGACTCTATTTCGTATAAATTAATCAAAACTAGTACAAGACCGAAACATTATTAAAATAATTGTAAGACAAACTTGTATTCACTTCGTGCACCTTGGTAAATAAATCATTTTAAAAAAGGAACCGAGTTAGGTATCATTTAATTCACACAATTTCCTTTCTGCATCCCTGACATCTATGCATCACTTATATCCCTGCATCTCTTACATCTCTGGCGTCGGGAGTGGGGGCTCCAGACGCCTTTGCACGTGGCTCAAGTAAAAGCCGGCACAGGGTGCGACCCCCGGTGTCGAACACATGCTAGGTACCCCAGATGGGTACCAATGTGGCAGGCAAGGATGGCTCCGGAGTAATATACATAAAGTCCCAGAGCCACCCTTTAGCGCCAGTGTCGGTCGCCGTGGGGTTTTAGTCAGTAGGAATCTGACACTCCCCCGCCACCCTCCCCGAGGGGCGGTGGGGGGTCTTATGCAAGATTTCCCCACGTTAAAAGAAAAAAAAAAATATTTACAACCTCTGATTCCGACAAAGGTAACTGGCTGCGGCACCGTTATCAACCGTTCGACGAAGAGCGAAGTAAAACATCATCAGTCTTATAGCGACCGCCGAGGACTGCAGATCTATCTGCTAAACATATATATACCCTTATCTTATTTTCTGCATTTATTTAATTTGCTGAATTTATCATTTTAGCTTATTTTATTACTCCCGTGTGCATCCTTTACATCCCTGATTCCTTTACATCTCTGCACTCCCTATAAACAAGCATTATTTACATCCCAGCATTCCTTGAATCACTGCATCCTCTACATCCCTGCTTTCTTTATATCCTTGCATCCATTACAGTTCTGTCGCCTCTTACACCCATGCATTCTTTACATCTCATCATCCGTTACAGCCCTGCTTTCCTCATATCCCAGCATCCCTAACATCTTTCCATTCCTCACATCCCTGCTTTCTTTATAGCCCTGTATCATATACAACTCTATTCCTTACAATCTGCGCTACCTTATATCCCTTTATCACTTACATCCTTGAAATGACGCTTTCGGCATTCATAACAGTGCCCTCTAGCGGCGAAAATTGGAACTAAAATTCTGCCTCTGGTCAGCGCCCTCTGGTGGGATAAAAAGGAACCAAATCTTGCCGAAATTTTGGCCCTCTAGCGGCAAAAATTTGAATTAAAATTCCGACCTCTGGTCAGCACCCTCTGGTGGGGAAAAAAGGTACCCAATCTTGCAGAAATTTTGGCCCTCTAGCGGCAAAAATTTGAACTAAAATTCCGACCTCTGGTCAGCGCCCTCTGGTGGGGAAAAAAGGTACCCAATCTTGCAGAAATTTTGGCCCTCTAGCGGCAAAAATTTGAACTAAAATTCTGATCTCGAGTCAGCGCCCTCTGGTGGGAAAAAAAGGAACCCAATTTTGCAGAGATTTTGGCCCTCTAGCAGCAAAAATTTGAACTAAAATTCGGACCTCGAATCAGCGCCCTCTGGTGGTAAAAATCGGAACTACATTTGTAACGATTTCTTGCTCAAAAAGAATTCATAGGGGTATAAGGGATACAGGGATATAAGGGGTGTGGAGATGTAAGGGTGCAAAGATGTAAGGAATGCAAGAACACAAGGAATGCAAAGATATAAGTCCTGGGATGCAAGGCATGCAGGGATTCAAAGGATACGAGGATACAGTGATTTAGGAGGAGACCCTGCAAGGTCAATGAAAAGAATGAAAAAAATAAATAACTGCAAAGGGAAGACTTGGTCCATAAAGGGTAGGAATAGGATAAACAATAACTGGGAAGGGTGGTCCTCGCGAATCCCATAAAGAGAAATAAAATGATAAATAATTAGGAAGCATGGATTTGACCCATAAAGGAGAATATAATAAAGAATAACTGAAGAGGGTGGACTTTAGTCCATTAGGAAGGATAAAATAATAAATCAAAAGGGTGGTCGGCCGAGGCTTAGAAGAGAGATAAAAACATAAATTTTACATACCGACATTATGGCATCAGGGGTATCAGGGACCCCGATATATCGGTGGCACTCTCTGCATACCGACCTGGTATCATCTTGGGGTGTTAGGGACCCCTAAGCACCGATAACCCTCTTTACATACCGACATTACGGCATCCGGGGTGCCAGGGACCCCGTAGCACCGGCGACACTCTTTACATACCGACATTACGGCATCCGGGGTGTTAGGGACCCCTTAGCACCGGCGACACTCTTTACATTCCGACATTACGGCATCCGGGGTGTTAGGGACCCCTTAGCACCGGCGACACTCTTTACATACCGACATTACGGCATCCGGGGTGTCAGGGAGCCCGTAGCACCGGCGACACTCTTTACTACCGACATTACGGCATCCGGGGTGTCAGGGACCCCGTAGCACCGGCGACACTCTTTACATACCAACATTACGGCATCCGGGGTGTTAGGGACCCCTTAGCACCGGCGACACTCTTTACAGACATTACGGCATCCGGGGTGTCAGGGACCCCGTAGCATCGGCGGCACTCTTTACATACCTACATTACGGCATCCGGGGTGTCAGGGACCCCTTAGGTCACGAGTCTTCGAAAACAAAAGCAAAAGCTGTATAGATGACGCTAAGATCGAATTTTACAAATATTTAATTTATTAATTTATTAAAATACAAGTTTGTCAAACGTTTATTTTGATAGTTCTTCGGTCTGGTGATAAATAAAAGAATAGTTAGGCGAGGTACAGAGGAGAAGTAAAATTATCACGGGCATTCCTTTGAATGAATTTATTGATTAAGCTAAGAAGATATATACAACAAATTAAATACACACAGAAAATAAAATAAGGGTGTATATATGTTTAACAGGTAGATCAGCACCCCTCGGTGGTGGCTGTAAGACTGAAGGAGTTTCACTTTGCACGATGGTTGACAATGGTGCCCAATCAGCCATGACGTTCCCCTTCGCCGCCGCGGGCAGCTACCTTTACTGCACTGTTTTCAAAAGACATCACTTGTGTTATAAAATTTAAAAATATAAAAGTATGTTTAAATTCATTTCTTGTTGGTAGTATAATTTTCTCTTCTAATGATACACAAATTAATTGATTATAGAGAAAACATTATCACTGAACGAAGATGCAGACCGCCTGTGTTTAAACTAATGCTAATTACTGATAAACAAGTATTGCCTATTTCAAAGATTAAACTGTTGTTTGATGATTTGACTAGGAAGCCTGGCAGTGTTTCTCAGTAGTGAGAATTATTATTGAGAATTATTATACGTCGCATTTGTATTTAAAAATTAAAAGCTTGTTGCATTTGAATTTTTCATCACGCTTCGATCATTTTTATAATGAACAAAATTCACTTCTTCTAGAAAACGATTTCATGTTTTATTGGAAATGAAGAAATGAAATAAGAGAATTCGAAATGATACGAAGAATAGCATACAGGAATTGTATATGTCACACTTTGTAATTATTTCATACAAAAAAGAATACAGTGAAACGGATAGAATAAATAATATTTAACAATGGTCGACGATATAACAATTCGAAACTTCACAAAATTTCAGCTTTCTTTTTTTCCTTCTTCTTCTCTAAGTCGTAATGACGAAAAGGCACAGCAGTACACATATTTCACAAATTATGTAACTTCACATGTTAATGATTTTATTAACTTATTTTTCACATACAATAGTATTATGCGTGAACGATCAAACATTGTATAAACAAAATTTACAAAATAAAGTATAAGTCTTTACAGCTAAAAGCTACTAGTAGTAGTGGATCACATAGCTTCATACTTTTCTTCTCGGTCAAGCAAATATTGCTGTACCGAGACTATTTCACTTGTATTTTTATTTGTTTTTTATTTTATGCTCTATCTCTCATTTATATTCATATTTATAATCATATTTATATGCAAATATACATACATATGTATACATTCGTATGGACATATACATATACATATATATTTTATTTTTTTTATTTTTTTTTATGACAAATATTAAATAAGCTAGCTTCCCTAGTTCTTGTTCTAGAACGGAATTTTGGGAACATGAAGGATGGGAATGGAGGCGCAGAAAAAAGGTGTTTCGCAAGTGGATGGTGTACACATATTTTTTTGTGTATGTGTATCTAGGTGTATACGTGTGTATGTGTTTTCTTTTCCTCATAGTACAGACGTATATTACATTCATTTAGATTCGACGATCTTGTAAATATAAAATTATCATCTCTTATTGTAATACCACTGACAAAATGATATAATATGTATAGGTATTATCTGCATCAATAGTCATATTGTACACCAAGAAGTGCATTCGACGCTGTTTCCTAAGCTTATTTATTCGGTAATCGTAATCACGGTTAAATCGTTTGTCCTACGAAGTTTAATTAGTTTTCAGTTTCACTTACATTCTTCTTTTTTTCTTTTTTCTTTTGGTGCCTCTTAAAACTATATGTTCGTTCGCCAGAAATTTGCATTTTCGTACGTTTCTTTTTCTCGTTCACATTCTGCCACTCTGTTTCTCTTACTTTTGTTTTCACTAACATCTTCACTCACACGCAGTCTCTTTCACTGTACAATTACGCGACAATGAACAAAAGTCGCCGCGCGCATTTTTCTCTTAATCTCTTTGAAAATATAACAAGCGAACGAAACGTTCCGTTAAATATAACTACAATTTTTATTTTCGTCTTTGATAAATAATAATAAATATCTGTCGAAGAACTCGTGCCTCTTTCAGTCACACTTTCATAACTACCGATATAATAGAGTTCTCGAAATAATTTCTTTCCCGCGTTATCATTCGCGGTTAATAAAACTCGTATCAACGAACTGTTTTTTCATCGTACCCGTTCGCCAGTTGCAGAAGAACAAAAATTGATAACGATACACAGTGTCGATCAACATAGGCCTTTCTTTTCCCCAAATCACCGTGATGGCGATTCTTTTTTGCGTTCGTTAATTCGATGCTCGATTCGATTGAAGAAAAAGCAACGCGGGTCAAAAAAGGATTTCATTCCGATCGAAACGAATTCACGTGATATACCGACGAACAACGATACGCCGAATAGAAATAAAATTACAACAGTTAATAATAATGTAGACCTGTGTGTTTATTGCATTTATTTTCCGCTAAAAATTGATCCTCCCTACGAAAAAAAAAAGAAAAAGAAAAACAAATTTCAAATCCAAGAAACACATATCGGACAATGATTAATTAATCGGATCAACTAACAGCTAACAAAACGATCAAATTAGACAAATTACAATAATATACAAACAATAGCTACGAACTACTCCAACCGTTTCAAGGTACCAACACGATAATGGATAAAAGAGAAACGTATTATGTACAAAATTGATGTTTGCAAAATTGACAATTCTCCGAAGCAACAGGAGAAAAGAAATGAATAATAAATTCATTCACAACGGAAGCACTCGCACACGCATCGTTCTCCAATGAAAGCTTCGTCCCCGACGCGCGTCGCTTTTTCCGCGATTAATATTTCTTTATCTCTCCGGGATCGCATAAATATTAAATAATGCGCAGGTCGACGGTTATCGTACAGCAATAATTACCGGATAAGGCGTTATTTATAATTATTTACAGTACGGAAAATATACAAAGGACGTTGGCTCTACATTTTATACGTACACTCGATTCATAAAGACGTTTGATTCTTGCGTACAATTACATTATATTGAGGTAAGTCTTTACTGGTTTCATTTTATATATAATATATATATAAATTTCGTGTTCAATCGACTCCGTTCGTGATCGATTTAACGAAACTAGCGAAGATACCACGAAACGGAATCATATCCCGCCACGTGGGCCACCGACTGGGCGAAAAAATCGAGCGATAAAATTAGAATTGTCTTATTTTTAAAACGGTCCCATTTTGTGTGTGTGTGTGTGTGTGTGTGTGTGTGTGTGTGTGTGTGTGTGTATGTGTGTGTGTGTGTGTATAGCGATGCCAGCCGTTTCACTTTCAAACGATCCCGACAATTGCTTCGACAACTCTCCTTTCATCCCCTATTTTGCCATTTACTTGAAACGTTCACCCCCGAATCGTCATCCGCGGCCGGTGATATGTCTTTCGCCACTGATCTACGAATCTGACTCATGATGCTTTTGGTCATTTCCAAGGTTCTCTAATGGTAAACTCGGTGGTTATTTTGCACATTGCTCTTCTCGTCGTTTACGCCTTTTTGGGAACCTACTTTTGGATTTTAAACCTGCACGAGGAGTGGCCCGACGACACATCCGTCTTTGTCGCGAGCTTTTGATTTCATTTGATGTACCGTCGTTCGTTAGAGGCGCGTGAATAACTTATTCAGATAGGAAATTAAGAAGAAGAATGTGTGAATTTTTTGCGGATTCAAATCCTGACGATTACTCGTTGCTATGGGGAAAAAGGGAACGCGGTTGTACTTTAACCCTTTCACTATTACAGTTTTTAATGATAATCGCTTTTGTACGTTTATACAAGGTGTCCTATGCGATTTAAATAAACTATAAAAAGAAATTATTAAAAAATTGCGAGGGTTAATAATAGAATTATAGATTTGGTTATTTTTAATTGATGATCCTGGAATTCTTAACTCCATACGAATAATAATTCAGACAGCGATATAATTAATGAAACTTAAAATTGATGTAACTTTTGAATTAATAGTTTTAAGGCACAAGTATTTTAGTAGTTGTTTTTATTAAAGTAGCCAGAAACAAGATTTTGTTTAAAGAAAAGCTGCAATTGCACTTTTCAAGTGCATCGATGCATAGGAATGCATTTTGATTGGATATCGTTTCATTCTATCATGGGAAACCTTGTATATTAAATTATACTAATTTAACACGTGAATAAAATAATTTTGCTCGTACAATTTTATTTACAATGAGGTATATTGTTACTGTACCCGTTATTTCTTTTTAATTGTAGTTTTAGAAATATTACATGTTTGCTATTTATCGAAATGTGAAAATAGCAAAAGGGTTAAAACACATTCCAATTTTTTTTCATTTATACAGCATAAACGTTAGTGGTCCTTGCATTTAGAATTTTAGTGAGCTTATAATGGAATAACTTAACCCATCGTGGAACTATTTGTGCAAGATAAAATTGAATCTACTATTGCTTGATTTTCCTAATTCTATTAACCATTGAAAGAAAAAAATTTGAATGAAATTTTACTGAACTATTCCGTCTAAAATATAATTTCGTATAATAATTTTCAAAGTTAATGAATATATTACCATTTTCTCTTTTACTATGAAAGCAACATTTGTCATTGAGTGATTGATTTTGGTCCTCTGTAGTTTCGAACATTTTATACGAGAATATTATATTCAGAAACCTTTCAGGTCCTTTTTATGATAAAATATGTCAAGCAGTTACAAAAGACAATCTGCAAAATACATATAAATTTTGTATAATGTACGCTTTCTTTCTTACAAAAGGTCAATTGTTCATTTCGCACATATTTATAGTACTAGCAACGAATAATCGACAGTATCTAAAAAACTGTTCGAAAATCCTTTGGAAGTTAAATAAAATTCGCGCGAACCTCTTTGTCTTTTGATACTTGCATCATTTCTTATTGTCTGTCTGTTATCTGTTCGCTTGGAAAACACTGCTTACTAAATGTAAAAAATTGTTAAGTAATTTTAATAACAAAATATTGTAACCAAAGCTATATAGATGCCATTACCATTACTAGTTTCTATTATTTGATTATTTCGAATACCCTTTCGCTGTGGAATATACTGCATAATAATTGCATTTTATTTAATACCTGTTATGGTTCAACGTTAACTCATATTTTAAATAATATGAAACCAAAAATATTATCACTTTAAATGCAGTAAATGGAAAAAGAATGTAAAAGAAATTTTTAAATTAAAAGGGAAACAATTCACAGGAGTAGGATTCTCCAAATCTCGGTTTTGACGATATTAATATTAAATGGATTTAAAAAAAACCAACTAATTTTTAATTATTAAACATTATAAAATTTAGTATACAACTTCAAATTCCGAATAATGTTCTCTGGGAAAGCCTGATATGATCAGGAGTGTACGTCGTCCGCAGCGAAGGGGTAAAAAATCTTGAAAATAAATCTGATTAGTAAGCAATGTGTTGATTAAAAAATTATCCGGGATCGAATATATCCTATCCTGGACAATGGGTTCCCGATCGGTAAAAAAAAAAGAGGAAAAATATCTATTTGATATTCGTTACGTATATCCTACTATTTTTTAAAGATTTGCTCTGTATGCTTTTGTACATATTTATGCGTACATGCTTGCAAAGGAACATTTATCGCGTCTTGGAGCTAAATTGTGCGATGATTCACGCGGTGTAGTTTGAAATGTTACAAAAATAAGGGTGAATTACACGCTATCATACCTCTCGAAATACGCTAAAATGAAAACGCGTTCGTAGTGAACGCAAAAGTAGGGTGTTTCCACAAAGGTTTCTTTAACCTTCTATACTCATTCCTCCATTTTTTTTATCATAAACAAAATTCACGTCAAAACGCATCGAAAAAGTGTCGTCTCGTTAAAAGTGAAGATTTACCGTGTGTTCGATTAAAATTCTCAATTAATTGGTTATTTCTTATGTACAAAAATCATTTTGCTTTCCCTTCGTTACGCTATTGTATCGTCTAAGAAGTATATTTTGTTAGAAAATAATT